GGTGGACCAGGCAATTGGGTGCGGCCTGTCGGCCCTCTTCACCTTCCACACATGCTTGGATAGCTCCGTGTTCTTCTCATACCGCTCATGCCGGAATATGGTGAGGTGGCCGTTGTATCGTTGCTTGAACGTGTTCTCGGTATGCAGGCCATAGTAGAATTTCTTATCAACTGTGTCGCTATTCCATCGGCGCGGTAAACTATGCTGCTATCGAGGCGCTGCCCGTGCATGGGGCATTCTGGCTTGATTCGGCAGTTGCATGACTTGGCCTCTGCCGGCTGCTGGTCATTTCTATCCTCTTTCAAGATTCGGTTGTTGTGGCCCCGGATAATCGACTGCATATTCGGCATTGTGGAATAGCTGACCTTGACATTATTGCTGTTGAAGATTTTGTGGAATGGTGACTTCTTTGGGCAATGTCTGTCAACTGCCTTCAGGAAGCAACGTGCCACGTCAGTAGATACATTCAGGCTGAAGGGAGGATTGAACCAGAATGATAATACATGTATTTCTCGATCTTTTCTTCTTTTTCTCTGTTGGTCTCTTTCTCTCAGAGCACTTGACTCGCTCGGCGTAGCCGCTGGCCTCCTTTGCGTTATTGTACAATGCTCTTCGCCTCTGAGAATGCGGCCTCGTCACATAATAATTATGTCCGACAGACGTCTATTGATCCCAACTGGCAGACTCTTGATAATGACAGGGGGTGGTTAGAGTGACGGTCGGTGCACGTAGAGGGGGGGGGGGGAGTGTCTTTCGGCTTCCGATACGCACTAAATCGGCCAGATGGTGAATGAAATGTAACGTCGAGGAAGTCAACATGGCGTGCAGAGACACTACGGACGGCGGCAAGTCCATCGTTTCTATACAGCACGATCATACGCCTGTCACACACACGACCAAAGAATATTATAATATACAGTTTTTTATGTCACTCAAAGCATGAGCTAACGCATCTGTTGACAGTTTCTCGCCATTGTTTACGGTCATGAGCTTGGGTCTGGCACTCTGGGCGTTGCTGATGGTAAGTTCGACACTTTTGAGATCCTTTTGGACAGTGTCGATCTAACGCATTGGGGGGCGTCCACGTGGCTTCTTGATGTCAGAGGTGTCAGTGGCTGACATCAGCGCCTGGTATGATGGAGAGTTTGGGCCTTGTCGGACAACGTGGCCAAACCATAGAAGTCGACGTTCTCTGCAAATAGAGGTAATAGGGATGCTATTGGTTTGGGAGTACAGGTGATTATTGATGACGTGATGAGGATGGTGGATATTCATGAGGATTGCCTGCCTGCTTGCTAATAAACTGACCAGCGAGCCTCACAGCACCGTCATGGCATGGGTCCGCTGTAGACTCAGCTTTGCCCTCCTCCGTGCTAGTGTGATGTGCCTCCGTGGATCCCGCACTCTGCGAGCCCTCATTGGCTCCAACTCCCCTGACTCGCTTGTTGCAGCTGAGGCAGTGATCCCAGGACATAGTATATATGTAGGACTCAGTATAGAGTCCATGCACTATATGATGTCCAGCACCCTATATAGAGTCCATTGGTCCAAAATCCACTATACAGAGTCCAGGAGTCCACTCAGTTTTGATCAGCTTCATCCTGCCGCGCAATCCCCTATAAGGAGTACACTTTTTCTACAAGTCCCCTATTCACAGTCCAGGAGTCCAGTTTATCCAGTCACGCCGTCCTGTGTGTTGTGCCCGAAAGAGAACGAACACATTTTCAGTTTTGCTTGCCTCGTGGCAGCGCATTCCTTTCTCCACTTTAGCCATGGCTCCCAGTTCTGCTGTGCAGTTGCTGACAGTAATCTGTCTCGAGGTAACCAAGGAGGATAAGGAGACGTTCAAAATCAAATCTGGAAAGCGTCTTGTGGTTCTCTGAAGACGTTTCATCAGTGCGCGGGATGAAAGCAGAAATTGCAGAACGAGAAAAGTTCAGCGCAGTTCAAATCTGACGAGTCAGGTACACTGACACTCTCCAAGAGAGTGTCAGTCTCTGTCTACTCTGTCAGTGAGTCATACTGTCATGTGCTACATGTGCACCTGAACCTGAAACCAAGCCCAAGGATCCTGTTTTACACCTACAAGTCTGCTGGTAGCTGCCTGTCACTGCATGCAAGCGCATGTTTCTGGGAGTACAGCGTATGGCTGTGGATGTGTCTCTGTCTACTCTGCCGTGACGCGTGTAGTGCAGTGTAGTGCGTCTCAACGCCTACCTGTACTAGCTGTAGCAGTGCTACATCATGATTGTACATGTACACACGCGGTATGGTATGCATGCACTCTGAAATGTATCTTTAAGTTTTAGAAATGCCTTGCAGGCGAACCCACCACAAACGCCTGTTAGACTTCTCTAAGTAAATACATGTGTTTACAGACGACCCCTGAGTAATCAACAACATACAATTACACATACATGTACATTTTACACAAACTATGTTGTCATTGGATACCCACATTATAACCCATACAGAAGTATAATACCTCTTGGTAACACGATTTTCTTGAAATAGTTTTCTTGCTGCAATGATGAGCACTTACTAACTAATGGCTCATGTTGCGAGCAAAACCTGTATTTGTTGTGCAGCGCCACTGTTATTTCACACACACTCTCTCCTCTTCATACATTGGCCAACACATGTTAACACCCAAACACACACTTGCATTAAAATGCACCCAGACACGCTCAACAACCCACCCACAGAATACACACTCAAAAATGTGCAAACACAGCATTCCACTCAAGTGCACATAGAACCACACACACACGCACGCACGCACGCACACACACACGCGCGCACACGCACACACACACACACACGCTGTAAACTTGTGACATTTCATGACTAGAGGCGATAAAAGGCTTATAGAGCAGATAACAGGTATAGGTCACAGGATTGAGCTACATTGCATGGAGATAGAAATGTGTCGCGCCTCCAGACATGTGTGGCAAGCAAGATAGCAGAATTTGGAGAAGAATCATCAACAGAACAATGAAGCAAACTATCGCCAATGTTGGTGGTGTCAGTCAGTGCGGACAAACCTAATTCATGACCGTCTTAAACCACTACATTCTGCCAACAGCCGTCTCAGACCGACAGAAGATGGGGATGTCCCTAGCCGAAGTTTGAGGTCATGAGCAGCTGCATCCAATCACCTGTTTTTTGTTACTTGGAGCACATCCAAACAAGTACATGTATTGGGCAGCTGTCCAAACAGGACTTGATTGGAAATGTGGGAGGTTTGGCATTCTGGCAAGGTGACCTAGCCCCTCAGGGCAATGCTGGCCAAAACATGTTGAAATGCCTGGTTTCAAGGTCTGCTTTCAGCGGAGTCCAGCACTCAGTACTATACACTAGGATGGAGGCTATACAGGAAAAGTTTAGATGTCATTTGACGCCCATCGCTGGAGGCGATGATAGCGATGCTACAGCAGAAGCCATAGCAGCTTGTGCTGGGTGGGTGGGGGGGGGGGGGGGACACACACACACACACACACATGCGCGCGCACACACACACCAGGGTCGGATCCAGGATTTTTCCAATGGGGGTTCAATTTTTTCCCACCCTACCCACAATGACGAAATGATGAGTCATTGATGACATACACAGGTATAAGAGGGTCACACGTTCGCGTTATCGGTACAGCACGACAGCCCACATGTACTGTATATTGCATCCTGTACTTGAATATGCCAGCTATACAAATGAAACTTCATTTCCCCTATTTTCAACACTCTGCAGCTAAAACATTATTAAAGACACGCAGCACAAGGAAGAAATTTTCAATTTCTTTGCTGCAGAATAGGTGATTGGTACTTTCTCCAGTAGCTCGTTTGTAATGATTGTCCGTAATATTGTACTCCGAGCCGCCTGACGTTGACTCCACTGTACAGTAGGTTCCACAAGGAAGGCTTCCTGCATCTTTCGTGTCTCTGTCATAATAGTCCCTAGTTCGGAGAAATTTTGGTTATTGGATTGTTGGGACGTTGAATTTGAAGGTGATTTCCAAAGTTTCGCTCTTTGTTTTACCTTCGACACTAGTGGCTACACCTTTCTTTGGAGTGTCACCAAAATTCAATGGCAGCTGGTCTTGAGCCTGCCTCTTTAGACGCTTCGACGAACTCTAAGACAGCTCAAAAAGCACGAGCCGCGACGACAATTACAGCACTACACGGACACTATTCAGAAACTAGTATTTGAAACTTACTTTCGAAGTTTCCGCAGCAGCTCAACAAATGCAGGCACCTCTTTCTCCGAAGTGAACGCGTAGCTGTATATTCAGTGCAGATTTACTTTACTTTGTATTATCTACGTTCAACACAACAAAGTACAATGTCATGTAGATCTACCAAGCTGCATAGCTAGCGGACCGCTCTGGCCTGGGCCGACTGGGCCATAGCATGGGGCGTGCACGTCACATGGGCATGGGTTAGTGATCATACCCGAACTATGGTCGGAAAAAACAGGGGGTTCGTTCGAACCCCCCCCCCCCCCCCCTGGATCCACCCCTGCACACACACACACACGCACACACACACACACACACACACACACACACACACACACACACACACACACACACACACACACACACGTACGAATATAGTACTTCGAAGTAGCCTTATACGAGTGTTTCTTTCTACACTTTGTCATGTATAATCACCACCTCGTTTACTAGCCTTTTTGTAGTTTTATCCCATTCATCAGCAATTTTTATGTGTCTATTGTATCACCACGTGACTACTTAGCCTTTGTTTATTGGCCGCTTACCCTTATTTCCGTAAATTCCACTGATGACCGGAGCAGAAAATCGATTCTGGAATTACACACCCGTTTTAACTCTAAACTTGTTCACTTCCATGGTAATGCCTGTGGCACTAATACTGCTTATAGCGTGAATTAACCTTTTGTCTCCTCGAAAACTGGTCCAAAGAATTTATTTTCCATTTCTAAATCATCTTAATTTCTCCTGTCCATCTCCATGCCCCCTCTGCAGATCACCGACAAGGACTTCTCCGAGTTCAGCACCATAGGAAGGCGTGGAAAAGGAATTGGCGAGTTCAAGATCCCATTTGGTGTTGTCCAAGTGAACCACAGCGCACTGGGCCAGTGCCTTGCTGTGACTGATGCAGAGAACCATCGGGTTCAGGTAATAACCAGATAGTACACACTGTACATGTACAGTTGTATTGTGTAAAATCCCTCTCCTACCCACTAACAGCGTACTGTGGTATACATAAAGATAGAACTAGCCTATATCACTGTTCAGCATCAAGTTGTGGGACTGTTTTCAATCATGTAACAGCAGATCAATCATATACTCTTAACACAGTACAATCCCAGTTGATAATTTTAGGATGGAAGTCGATTGTAACATAATTATGCATTGGTAAGCGTGCGTGTGTGTGTTGAGAGGGGGGGGGTGCATGTTTGATGGGTGTGTCAGCTAGTTCTGTTGCTGGGTGCTCTAAAGCCAGATTGTGACTGCGTGTGTTGCCATCTACTATACATGTATTACAGTATTACGTTCACTGGGGGGGGGGGGGGGGGGGGAGGTAAGTGCTGTCAAACCCTTTTCTGCACCATGTCCTAAACCGCTCACACATGTGTGGTGAGCCTCTAAGTGGAATAATTTCCCGAAGTCCATCCAGAGTTAGTCGATTTCAGTATAAGATATCTGCCGTTGGATGGTTCGATAGCCAATCCATCATCTCAAGATGCCTTTGTATCCCTTGCCCTTCAAGCTTTGGAAATGAGCACGTAAAAGGACAAGCGCATCGGTATGCAGGTTGGGGGCATTGGTGTGACGTGGGTGAGTGGAGCCGTTTGAGTGTGGGTGGGCGGGTCCATTTGGCTGGCGTTTGTGTTTGGGGGCTTGAGGGTGGGTACACGATTGTTTGTGTGCATGTTTGTGTGCATGTATGTGTGTGCGCGTGTGTGGGTGTAGTATAGTGTGTGTGTGCGTATGTGCAAGCATTTATGTCTGTGTGTGTGTGTCTGTGTGTGTGAGAGTGTGTGCGCACGCGTGTGTGTATGTATGTGAAAGCATTTGTGAGTGTGCAGGTGTGTGTGTGTGTGTGTGTGTGCGTGTGCGTGTTTGTGTGTGTGTGTGTGTGCGTGCGTGAGCGCGTGCATGTATGAATATGCATGTGAGTTCCATTGGCATACCGGTACATCATTACACGTTTATGTTTTAGAAAGCTTCATAAAGCTCTGTTACAGCCCAACCACCAAATCTAGTTGTAAGTTGTGTGCAAATGAATTACATATCTCACAGGTTTACACACACACACTTGAGAGGAATCAAAAGCGTTTCTGCTGTAACTCTGAGTTTCACGGTTTTAATCGATCATCAGACAGCAACTCACAGGTGTATATTCTTCTATGTACACTGGTACTGTACAGGTTGTGCCATGCAGTGGTGAGACAGGATATGCGTTTGGAACAAGAGGTAGTGGTCAAGGCCGATTTCAATATCCAATAGGCATCACAGTATACCTCAACAGGTTGTTTATTGCTGACCAGCACAGCCACCGCATCCAGGTATGTTATCATGTTAATCTGGCAACAACGTCAACAATGATGCATATGTCGAATACGACAACAACCGCAATGACAACGACGGCAACAACGAAGATGATGACAGAGGCGACGGCGACAACAACAACAACAACAACAACAACAACAACAACAACAACACAACAACGACGACGACGACGACAACGACAACAACAACAACAACAACAACAACAACAACAACAACAACAACAACAACAACAACAACAACAACAACAACAACAACAACAACAACAACAACAACGACGACGACGACGACGATGACGACGACGACGACGACGACGACGACAACAACAACAACAACAACAACAACTACTACTACTATTAAAACTAGTTCAGTAGCAGCAGCAGCAGCAGCAGCAGCAGCAATGGAAGCAGTAGCAAGTTCAGCTTTATATCGTTGTGACAGGTATTTATAGTTGGCGGCTCCAAACTTTGGTGCTTACACTTCATTCTGATTGACTTGACACTTGACTGACTCATGACTGCTGTCCAGAGCCCATGAGCAGCAAGTGGAATGTTTGACTCAGAAAATCTGCAAAAAAGTGCCACCCTCTGCTATATGCAATGTTCTGGGGAATTCCCCCTGTATCAGCTGAGCTTCAGAACGTTAATGTAATTTGTGCTCTGAGAGCCCTGCAAAATGTGTTACTCTCTGGCAAGACCTGAGACATCTCTGGCAAGAGCCGAGATCCAAAGTTTGGAGTAGCCACCTTCTTCAATTATATCCACTGAAATTGCAACATCTACATGTAGATCTGGAATTATATTGTTTCTTTTTTGCATGTCTAGTGTGCATGAGACTTTACTGGTATTGACAACCCATCTTTCGGAATATACACTGGACAAGGTCGGGCAGGAAAATATTCATCCAATCAGAAATGAATTTGTACATCATGGAAGTGCTTGTTGGCCATGTTCACCTGTTACTTGTCCTTTTCAGTGTAAGAGTGTATAGGCTGATGTGAAGTAAGACTCTTGAACATCATGTATTTACATCATGTCACAAACCAAACAGTGGCTGTGCTACAATAAATACATACATAGTAATCAAATGTTGGTGCCAGGTCCATGTTTTACCTCAGGTTTTGAGTTTTTACAGTTACACACCAGTAACCTTATCATCACTACAGTCATAATGATAGTAGCTATGCACTGTGTGTTGGAGTATTATTCTTACACTCCTGTTATATCTATACTCTTGCTGTCACCACAGTGGTGTGTGTGAATGTTCAATTGTTTTATTCCTGCAAAAGGTGAGGACCGTCGATGGAGAGTATATCACTTCGTTCGGTTCAAAGGGCAGCGCCTTTGGTCAGCTGCAGTACCCGCAACATGTCACTACAGATACCTACGGCAATGTTCTAGTCGTAGATAGTGGCAATGGACGTGTTATGGTAAGGGAGAGCTTGTTGTCGTGTTCTTCTTTCTAAATACATACAGGCAGAGAGTAGTACCCAGTACATATACAACAGTGGAGCATGGTCAGTTTGTTGCTAGTCTGTGATTCATGGTCAGTACAATCATCAGACAACACTGATATGAACACAGAAAGTGATGTACACTGCATGCACAGAGTACAAGTAAAGCAAGAGTACATTAGCTCTTACAGTTCAAAAAACAAGGGTACATTCTACTCTTACACTACTTTCTTGTATAAAAGTGTGTCTCACATGTAAGCTTGCAATGAATACTAGTACTAGCATGATTTCCAAAATGGTACCTCTGGCACATATGCTTTAGGGTTTACCTAGTGTCCATGCATACTCAGACTGTGTGGAGTGCTGAATGTCTGGAGAACAGAGCAAGGAATACAGTGGAAACACATCAATGCTAAAACCAAGTCTTGGATGTCCTCTGGCTGTGTTCTTACTGTATGTTCGGCTTGCATATTGACATTTAGAGAAATGCCTAATCAGTTTAAGTAGAATTTAAGTACTTGTATAGGAGTATGCCTTCAAAGCCCATCTCTACCGTGAAACCAGTCTAACACGACCACTCAAGGGACCTTCAAAATGTGGTCTCTGTTACCAGGTGGTCGCCTTATCGAGGGCCAGTTGGCTGGAAATAGCATCATTTGGTCCTGGTTTCAGTGGTCTTCTAGGACAGGTGGTCGCCTTATCCGAGTGGCCGCCTTGACAGGTTTTACTGTACTTGAAATATACGTGCCATGTTTTGGTGGATTCAGTTTACGCCGGGGTAAGAGGACTTTGTTTGAGGTAACGTTACTGAATCTCTGACCGAAATTATCTCCATGGTGCTGCTTTGACGCATATTCATCTTTTAATGAATGAAAACATATTTCAGAAGTAGCAAAGTGGTTTACCCACCTATTGCATATAGCTTATTTTCTGGAGTATAATTATATATATTAGTATTATCATGACATCAGTCTGAGTCATGAATATTGTTTTTCTGTACTGTGCCAACCATGTATTTGTGCCGGTGGATCACTGCGGTTTCACTTGTAGCACGTATTTGATCCGATTTCTTGAACGTGGCAAATATTGCCACGTGAGTTTGGTTCTTCGCGGGCTTTTCAGTGATATTGGACGAGGAACGGTTTGGACAAATGGTTTTTTGGATTCTTCTTCTTCTTGCCAATCCGAATGGTGGTTCAACTCTTGTTCTCTGTGCCTGGTGATATATCGCGAGGAATAAAAAATATTGATCCGAGTCATTTCGCGACATGTATTAGCCGCACTTTAGACAGCAGTAAGACATCCAAAGAGAAGCCTGCGTGGCTTATACCTTGATGGTCAAATCAACACTGGTAAATGGGAAAGATGTCTCTATTTGGTGCCAAACAATTCAAATCGTTCAGATGGGCCTTTTTTACCAGTGCGCCATACTCTAGTGTGGCTTATACTCCAGTGTGGCTTATACTCCAGTGTGGCGTATACTCCAGTGTGGCTTATACTCCAGTGTTGCTTATACTCCAGCGTGGCCTATACTCCAGTGTGGCTTATACTCAAGTGTTGCTAATATATTCCAGTGCGGCTTATACTCCAGTGCGCCGTATACTCCAGTGTGGCTTATACTCCATTGTGGCTTATACTCCAGTGCGGCTTATACTCCAGTGTGGCTGATACTCCAGTGTGGCTTATACTCCAGTGTGGCTTATACTCCAGTGTGGCTTCTACTCCAGTGTGGCTTATACTCCAGTGTGGATCATACCCCAGTGCGGCTTATATTCCAGTGTGGCTTAACCATGCTAACCCATACCTTCCATGATACCATCATCCATAAATGAATTGTGCAGCATTCATGCACCCGCCATGCATCATTTATGTATCACCCGTACATCATTCATGCATCCTCCATACATCATTAATGCATCCTCCATACAGCATCCATCCATCATTCATACATCATCCATACACCACCATGCATCAACCTGCTATAACACGTGGAATTCATGTACACTGACCAGTGTTGTCCATGTTCTCTGCAGGTATATGCCGCAGAAACTTACACACCACTGGCTGAGTTTGGAAAAGGAGAGGTGGACGAGCCGATGGGTGTCTGCGTGACAAGTGAGGGTTTAGTAGCTGTTTCCGATTGGGGTGATCACAAGATTTTCGTGTTTTGAAGGTTTCTTGGTAGACACCTGTCATCAGTCACTTGCTCACACTTTTTTATGCATCATAACGTAAATGATCACAGCGTGACACAAACTGAACTTGTATCCCATCCTACTCCTCTACTCTCTCCCCCCCCCCCTCCTCCCCAACACACGCACACACACACACACACACACACAAACACACACACACACATTCACACACACACACACACACATCAACACAACCCCTAAGTTGTACATCTTCAACAATTTTCAGTTGTCTTTTCTACACTTCTCATTGAGAATTTTGTTTTCCTCCGCTCATCCGCCGCCTTGCTTGGTGACGTGTTCTATCTTACAGCACTCTCACATGAACTGAACACATCTCACGTATTTTATACCACTGTACTTCGATTTTTTAAATGGATTAGGTAGATGCCGCAACAGTTATTCCACACCTGTTTTTCTTAGGTAGCTTCTGGTTCCCGGTGTTTATTAACCCGGTTATCTCAGAAAAGAACGTTTGCAATTGCTAGAATACCATTTGTATCCAGTGGTGGATATATTTTTGCTTTGGTTCTTTCTACTTGATTTTAGTCCTTGGCTCTCCATCTGAGTTCATTATACATTATATGTAGGCTGTAATAGTTCTGATTTTTTTTTATTTACTTATTGGATTGTTTTCTAGCAGATTAATCATATGATTAGGATATCTATGCACAAGTTAGTTTGAATTGTTCACATCGAGATCACGTTTTCCTTGCACTGATTCTGTCGACTCACGTGGTTGGTGCACATGGTACAATCATGGTGCTTGTGTATGTGTATATGCGTGCGTGCGCGCTTGTGCATGCGGGCGTGCGTGCGTGCGCGTGCACGCACGCCCGCGTGCATGTGCGTGCATGTGTTTGTGTGTGTGTGTGTGTGTGTGTTTGGCTACAAAAACCCACTTCATAGCTGTGTTGTGTGGACCACTGAGGCTGAATAGTTGCGGTCAGTTCTTCAGCCTTGCAAGCTGTTGAATCATGCAATCCCCGCACAAGTTGCTATTGCTTCTGCCGTAGCATCGCTACCATCACCTCCAGCGATGGACGTCGAAAAGTCAAAGGTGTGTGTGTGTGTGTGTTTGGAGGGGGGGGGTTGTGTGTATGTGTGTTGATTGTGTTGAAAATAACGTTCAAGGTACTAGTAGCAGTGTTTGTAATGTTTTCTTCCATTAATGCAGTATCCTGTGTATAGCGGTGACCTCATAACGTGAACAGCATCCATACTGTATAGATAGTACTGTTTTGACCATAGCAAATTCAACTCCTGATATAACCAACACCATTGTACAGGAGAATTACTTCTCTATAGGCCAGGTTCTTTATAACCGAAATTCACTCACACCATACAAGCAACACGACATGTAGTTCATGACAGTATGATTGGTTTAATATGTGAGACATGGCACTGCCGGACGGGCAATGTAGTTAGCATGCCGCCCCACAAGATGAAGAGATATGGTGGTTCCTTATCAACGACAATTGTTCGATATACTATAAAAGATCATTTTTTTGTATGGGTTTAACCGTTTAAACAGGGACATGGACTCTGATTTGCTATAATCACGAAATTCGCTACATGCAGCGAGTTCGCTAAAAGTGGAGTCGATTGCATTCTGTTATATTCCGTGTGGTGTACACCTTGTGTGTATTGGGGACGGATTCTAAAAGCTTCGCCTTTCATGTGGATTGGGCTGGACAGGGTTATGTATTGCTCATATCACCCAGAGCCCAATTGGCAGGGCCCTGATCATGCGCCATATGAATAATATTATGAACGAGAGACAGTGGTAAAAAACTAAAATACCTCAGATACAACTCTCTGATATGCCCTGTACAATCATATACATGCATGATCTTATCATCTTAGGGGTTAACTACACATTATCACAGCTCTCTTCCAGATTAGTCAAAGAAAATGAGATTCTTACGTCAGAACTACTACGTTCTCTCGTCCTGGCTTGGTTGAGCACTCCTTCTCGTTAGCGTCAATGTTATAATTATGCCCTCGTCAAAAGCTCGCTGTGTTTATCGCAGTTGGATCACTCTGACATTGATTCTTTGCCTCTCTCTCTCTCTCCCTCTCTCTCTCTCTCCCCCCCCCCACTACGTCTGAGCTCTGCTGAGGAGACCTAACATTAGGCTATCAAGGTCTAAACAGCTAACTGTCTGGTGATTAGTATTATTTGACAAGTTCCTGTACAATATGTAGAGGAGACGGCTCGATACCGGAACGTTTTGACAGCCAAATTTGTATAGACCCAAAACGATCATCAACGTTGATTTTTCACTCGAAATATGTTTGTGGAAGGAAACTGGCATGTTGAAGTTTGCTCTGGGGCCAGAGTCAATCGAACTGAGCCACTCCTTTGTGTTGACCCATTGCCTCCAAGTTGCCCAATTTTTCGCTTCAAAAAAGTTCAAATCAGAGGTGGCTCCAAACCGGACACGTTTTAGAGTGCCCGTCAAATTCACTCTGGGTCTGAAATTAGGTAATTGCTATCGCTCCACGACGGCCAGTACAGAGTAACAATAAGCCTTGTGTGTGCTTCCATTAGTTTTGATTGGTATGCGGTGCTTTATTGTCGAGAGGCGAGCCGCTGTTTACCTGCGACAAGAAGTTGATTTTTCGAAAGTCGTAAAACTCAAGTCGCAGTGCGAAGCAACACGTCAAAAACTCACCTGCTTGATATGGCGCTTCTGGTCATCGCAGAGCCATGAAATTTTGGCTCGGAGTATAACACATCGTAGTCTCACTGTGACATATGTTTTCTAATCAAAATACCAAGAGAGAAAGTGAATATTGAGTCCGTTCCGGTTTGCAACCTATTTCCTATTTGAAACCGTCGCCTCTACATGGTATTCAGTCATGTACAGTCATGTACATGTACTGGAGTATCCTGATGACAGGGTACCACCTGCTGGAGGTGCATTGAAACCCGTGTTCCTGATTGCAACCGGAGACAGGTTGGTATAGGATCCCGGTCCTCCGACTACTATGTGAACCGCGTGGAGTCATGCCCCGGTTAAATCATGTCCAGAGGGCCAGCATAGTGGCAGGAGTGTGTGGTGCAAATTTCATTCAAATCCATTGAGAGACACCAAAGTTACGGTCAGTTGAATGCCATAATACAATTTAGGACCAGGCTGCTACCTTAACCCCCGATTCGTCCTCTGTTGGGACCAGGGAGTTGTAAAGACCCTACACAACTACCAGGTCGTGATATGCTGTCATCATCATACATGTACCTGTTTTAGCTATCAAGTCAGGTGTATCGTCAGCCTCTCGTGCTCTATGGGACGGCA